GTAAAGTTAAAAATATAAATATCGAACCGTTAAGTAATTTTGATATAATAAAATTTGGAAATAATATAAAAAAATTTAGAGGTTGTTTCATGATAAATGGGTACCTGAAAACTCTTGGTTAAATGAATGTGGGATATTTAATTTAAATAATTCTACTCAAAATGGTTCTCATTGGGTTGCATGGAAAAAAATAAAAAATTATAAAATATATTTTTATGTAATTCGTTTTTTTGTTAATATAGAAATTATATAATTCAAAGTAATTTTTCAATTGCATCAAAAAAACCAAGCAGTAATAATTTATTATCATATTTTACAACAAATAAAAAAGCACGCACAGATTCATATGAAAATAATGAGGTAAGTCTAATTTATTAAATTTTAAATGCATACATTTACATTGCAATATAATAAAATATATTTTAATTGTATGTAACAAATACACTTGCTAAATAATATTTTTGTATAGTTCAATTTATTATATAGTTATTAAAAATATTTTGAGTTGTTGGAAACATGTTTCTTCTGAAATCTTTTTTTTTATAAGCTTTAAAATATATTTTAATTGTATGTAACAAATACACTTGCTAAATAATATATTTGTATAGTTCAATTTATTATTTAGTTATTAAAAATATTTTAAGTTGTTGGAAACATGTTTCTTCTGAAATCTTTTTTTTTATAAGCTTTTAATTTATGCTATTTCTATATTCATGCTATTTCTTACATTTTAATTATTAATTAAGGCTGATTTTGGTTGTGGAAGTAAAGATGAAAAAACACTAGCCAGTCCCAATAATGATATTGGATTTATAGTGGATAAAGTAGTATTGACAGATGCTGATAAAAAGCTTGTAAGTTCATTCTTGAAGCAAATTTACAAAGTACTGTAATTATTTAAATACATTTCGAGTTTTCACTAATATACTACATTTTTACCTCATTTAGGTGCTTTCTAATTTGTGGGTACCAGATGATTTTTACAAATTCCCATTACTGGAAAAAAATAAGGAACGTGGCCTACGGTTTCAACATAAGTGGCTGAAAGAGTTTAATTGGTTGGCATATTCTAATGTAAAAAATGGTACTTTTTGTAAATACTGTATCCTGTTCGCCAGAAATGGTGGGATTGGAAGTCAACCTTTAGGAAATCTTGTTACTGTCGCATTCACTAACTGGAAGAAAGCAAAAGAGGTTTATAATTTATTCATATTATCATACATAACTTTTTTGTTTTAATTTTAATTACAAATATTCCAGGTATATAGAGTTCATTCCAATTTAAAATATCATATTTCATCTGTACTAGATTCTGAGCAATTTTTGAAAATAATGGAAAAAAAGAACCTTCTATAATCGAACGTTTAGATAAAAATAGGTAATTTAAAGTAGTAGTTTTATGTAATAGTAGTTATATCTCTTTAAACTATATAAATTTATAAATTTAATGTTATTTTAGAGCACTACAAATAGAAGAAAATAGATAAAGAATTAAACCAATTATTGAATGAATTATATTATGTGGTAAAGAAGAATTGGCTCTAAGAGGTAGTAAAGATTTTGGTCCAATCAATGTTGATGGTTAGTAAAAATGTTAAGCAAAGTAACTTGTTAATTAGCACTTATGGTATTTTGAATTTTTAGATGATATAAGACAAGGTCATTTTCGTGCCTTATTGAAGTATAGAGCCAAAGGAGACGACTTTCTACGTACTGTTCTGGAAGGTTCAGGTAAACGTAATAAGTACACTAGTCCAGTCATTCAAAACGAAATAATCCAGGTGTGCAATACAATATTACTACGAAAAATAGTAAATAAAGTTAACAAATCAAAATGTTTCTCGGTTCTCGCCGATGAAACAACGGATATATCCACAAAAGAGCAGCTCTCTATTTGTGTCCGTTATATTGATGAACAAAATATGCTACATGAGGACTTTTTACAGTTCTTTGAAATTAAAAGTTTGACTGGTGATGCCTTGGCAAACTCTATATTAAATGGTAACTTTAAATTAGTAATTAACTTATTTAGTTTATTTTATGTATTATGTGTATTGGTATTTTAGGTTTAATTCAATGTGGTCTAGGTTGTAATTATTTATATGGTCAGGGCTATTATGGGGCCAGTAATATGGCTGGCCAATTTAAAGGAGTCCAAACTCTTGTACGGTTTAAATATCCCAAAGCTCTGTATGTGCACTGTGCTGCACATTCTTTGAATTTGGCAGTTTCAACAGCAAGTGGAATAAAACCTATAAAAAATTGTTTAGGATTAATTGAAAAAGCATACATGTTTTTTAACACCCCCAAAAGGAATTCTGTTCTTTTACATGTAATTGAAAATTCTGATGATGAACCTAGCACAAAACAATTAAAACGACTTTGTGCCACACGCTGGATTCAACGCTATGATTCAGTAAAAGATTTTTCAGAGCTATTCCCATTTGTTCTTTCAGCATTAGAAATTATTTCTGATTGGAAAGATCCAAGTGAGGCTCTCATGATAAAAAAGTCAATGGAATATACAGAGTTTATAATTTCTTTCAATGTTATTAAGGTATATTTAATTTAGTTTATTTATTTATTATTTTAATTGAGTTTTTACTGACATTTTTGAAATTTTATTTCAGTTGTTATTTTCATTTGGTCTTCCATTGTGTAAGCAACTACAAAAAGTACAAATTGATCTTGGAAGAACTATATACATAGTAGAAAACGTGATAGCCACTTTAAAGTCTATTCGAGAAAATAATGAAATAGAATTTAGTATAGTCTACAATAACGTTAAAGTAAATAGTTACATAGTATTAAAAATCAATTAAATTTTACAAATTATCGATAGGTTAGGTTAGGTTAGGTTAGGGTAGATTAGAAATGGCACTAAGGTCTTGGATGTCGTTTGTCAATGAGCTACATTTTTTATCCGCGATTCGGGTACCGAGGTTCGTTGGTACATCCGAAGATTCCCATTAYGAGTTGTGTGGTTTTGCAGATGCGTCGACTAAAGGTTATGCGGCCGTTGTTTATTTGCGTGTGTCAGATCGTCACCACCAAGTTTCGGTGTTCTTGCTAGGTAGTTGGCCCCCACCAAACCCATGTCCATACCTCGTCTCGAATTATGTGCTGCTGGTTTACTTGCTCGTTGGTTAAGTCGTATCCAGATCACCTTGTCGTCTCAGMTCGTTATCGACAATGTTTTCGCTTGGTCAGACTCGTCAGTAGCGTTGTCGTGGTTAAACACACCACATCAGTCTTATAAGATCTTTGTATCGAATCGCGTTAGCMAGGTTTTGGATTTATTACCGTCTTGTCGTTGGTTTCATGTCAGTACGGATATGAATCCAGCTGATTGTGTCTCCAGAGGGTTACGTCCTGGGGAATTAGCTCAGCATGATCTCTATTGGTCGGGGCCTGCTTTTCTTCGCCAGTTCGGTGAAAGTTGGTCGCCAGAGGTTACATTGATTCCGTTAGACCAGTTACCTGAGGTCTCCGGACCTGTGTCCTGTGTTGTTGWGACAACGGGGGAGGCCGTTGAGTGGTTCTCACGCTTTTCCTCGTTGAATCGTATGTTGAGGGTTGTTAKTCGTTTACAACGTTTTGCAAAACTGTGTCGCAAGGTGCCAGTAGATACAAGTATGTTTTCGTATCAAGATTATAGCGATGCGCTATTGGCGGTTGTAAAATGTTCTCAGGCTACATACYTGAAAACTTTACTTCAAGAACTCTCCTCTGGCAAGGATATTTCTTCTCGCCCACTAGCTCGACTGTCGCCGTTTATTGATAGTTATGGTGTCATTCGAGTAGGAGGTCGGCTTCGGCATTCCTTGTTGTCAGATCGGCGTAAGTATCCAGTTCTGTTGTCCAAGTCCTCTCATTTATCGTTACTCGTTGCTCGGCATTGGCATAAGTTTGCTTGTCACGCAGGTCCTCGTCTCATATCAGATCTGATATGCCGACAATATTGGATCGTTGGTGATCGGTATGTTATTCGTCGTGCAATTGGCGAATGCACCATTTGCGTTAAGTTATCTGCTCGAAACATTCAGCCAATCATGTCCGATCTACCTGATGTTAGAGTTCAACAATTCCATCCATTTTCTAGTGTGGGTATCGATTATGCTGGTCCTCTTCTCGTGAAGGAGACGAGTTTGAGAAAGGCACGACAATGTAAGGTCTACATTGCGGTGTTCGTCTGCATGAGCGTCAAGGCAGTTCACCTTGAACTTGTCTCAGATCTGACGACAGATGCATTTCT